GTGTTAGCCTATCGAAATCCTATACTAACATTGCGGATAGGCTAACGCAACCAAAAATTGACTGATACAACCAATTAAAAATGCCATATTTTACCATTTAATTTGCTGCAGCAGCCAATCTTTTTTTCAGTGTAGTATTTGGTACAATCAAGAAAAAAAATAAACTGCTCGCAAACACAAAGACAAATGTCCGAACATTCGCATTCGGTGTTCGTTCTGGATAATACGCGGCTTTACATAACGCATAAGAAAATGAATCGATCAAAGAGCAATTAAGCAATAAGCGAATCGACATTTCTATGGGCTTTCTATAATAAGCCACAACCTAAGCTTTAAATCTTAAATCGTAAGAAATTAATCAATCACAATCGAATATGAGAAGAATAATCGACTATGATTGGTCAAATATACAAAGCCCATTAGATTCAATGCCGCATACGTTATTGTCTCATGTCTCTACTGTGATTGGCTGATTCGCTTATGCCTTACGTTTTTTTGTGTACTGTAGTCTTTGTTCCTCTCATTCGGGGAAGACGTCCGTCTCTTACAAACGTCTTCAATAGACGCGGATGGGGAAACTTTCGATATATCGATGCGAGATCATTTTACTGCCATTCATAAAAACGCCTAATACCCGTTTCTACCAATCTAGATTAATTTTAACCTCGGTTAAACTTAGGGTAATATTCACAATCCATTCTTATTATAAGACCGTCTTAAGCGGCGTCTTTAATGAGATTTTAAGGCGTAAATCTTGAATTTTAAGTCCTAAGCCTATAAGAAATTGACCAATCACAATCGAATGTGAGGAGAACAATATTGACTATAAATAATATCTTTAAATGCTAATAAAGCCCTCTGATTGGCTTATGACGTTTTAAGGCTACACTTAAGTTTTGAATACAAAAATTAACTATGAAAACCGGTTTTACTCTTCGTCTTTTTCTAATCCTTAGAACTAGAAAAACATGAAAAGTTAGTTGAACCAAGATTAAAATTACATTGATAGAACGGAGCATAAATGGTGGGATTATCGCGTATACAGGGCGTTTCACACGACACCTTGCGAACCGATTTGGAACTTTAAAAAATTGATTTTTTTTCTCGACAGAAGGATATATTTAAATTTATTCGACTATTTTAATTATTTTCAACGGTCGTTTCGTTAATCGAATTAACAGCTTCACTATCTTGAACAAATCTTCATAATCCGTTTTTAACTTTATTTCGCCGACGCATTCGGAGTGAAGTAAACATATATTCCGCGATATCTATGAGAAAGAAAAGAACAGTGCAAAAACGACGTACAAGCAGATAAAAGTAAACATAACAATGCTAATGAGATAAAAGCCGGTTGCATCAACAGGTTAGGGCCGAACGAGCCATGCGAACGCCTCCATGTTTCTTTCCGTAGTAACAGCCTTAATCGCTTTTCCCACGCGCCGCGTGGAAACCAAAATTTTCCTATTTGCTTGAAAATTTGGCGAAGCAGCTCGAATGTTGGCGTTCATTCATCATACACGGCAAGCGTCTTGCCGCAATGTATCTCTCCATCTCGATCGATCTCTTTCGATGGGACTTGGATACTTTTATGAACGGCACCCACCGCGATATTATCGTAGTAATGTATCTATCCGAAAAAGATGTACCGGCGCCATTTGTGACAATCGCAAACGGCGCCGTTACACGGCATCGACGAAAAGGAGCGCAAGCTCGTGGATCATGATCGAAGGGTGCTCACCGTGTCGTCGATCGTCCGCGTGTCCCGGTTGGAGCCGGTCCTCCTTAACGGACGTCGCGGTCCATCTCATCGTGTCGACGCACTCGCGCTCGAACGAAGTGTCGTGTCTCACTTCTTCCATCCCACAGCGGTTCCGAAACGTTTTTTAACGGACCGATCACTCGGACATAGCGGCCATGCGTGCGCGCGACGCGGGAAGCGGCAGTACTGCCAACTTTACCGGCCACTCGCTCCGCTCGCTCTTAAAGGCATATCGCAACACGCGTCACGCGTATCGCCCTGCCGAAAGCGGTGTAGACCCCTCCGAAAATGTCGCCCTACGGACGGACTTTGATTTGCCTATCATTATATAGAGGCGCGACGCATGGATTTCATTTAAAGATCTTGTAGGATCTTTTAAAAAACCACAGAGTTGGGTAAAAATACGCGCGGTATTTTATATTTGTACTCTCTAAATCTTTTGGAACGAAGTCTTACTTCGAAAGATTGAAAATTGAGACTGTCTTGAAAAAAAGAGCGG